GCACGGGTTTCCACTATGGTACAAAAAGAATGATATTCAAAACTAAGAAAAGAATGATTAGAATCAATGGAGTTATGCCAACACCTGTAAAGAAGCCCCTGTTGAAATCAACACTGCCAAACCTACTGGGACTGAAAAACCCCTCAACACTTTCACCCTTGAAAAAATGCAGAAAATTCTGAAAATGCTGGAAAGCAATGACAATGGATCACAGTCCCACAACATCAATCAGGTTCAAAGAAATAATCCTGGAGAAAAACAAGGTAATCTCCCCTAGATAATAGACATAAGTGTCACTGATCACGTCACCTATCACAAAGATAATTTTCTAACCTTTTACAAAATAAAACCTATACCTGTCAAATTGTCAAATAACTCTCTACTTACTGCAGAATTTGTTGGAACCATCAATTTTCTAAGAATTTTACTCTTTTCAATGTGTTATACATTCCGAAATTTTATTTTAACCTTATATTTGTGCAAAAATTAACTAAAGAATTAAACTGCACTCTAATTTTCTCTCCTGAGTTTTGACAGATCCAAGACAGTACTACCTTGAAGACGATTGGGCGTGCTGATGTCCACAAAGGATTATACTATTTTAGAAGTTTTCCTGTTTTTTGTCAAAACTATATTCTTGGTTCTGTTCTTTCTTATAAACGTGCTGATATTAGTTTGTGGAATTATAGATTAGGCCACCCTGGACTCAAAGCCACTGAACAAATCTATAAACATTTTCCTTATGTTGATATGCCTACTGAAATTGTTTGTGATATATGTCATTTTGCCAAATAGTATAAATTGCCTTTTTCACATAGTGTTTCCTATTCTACCAATTATTTTGATTTGATACACTATGACATATGGGGCCCTGTTTTTATACATTCTGTTCATAGGCATAATACTTTTTTACTATAGTTGATGATTACAGCAAACATACTTGGGTTTTTCTAATGAATGTAAAAAGTCAAACTAGAGAATTACTTCAAAACTTTGTTTTAAAAATTAAAACCCAATTTAATAAGACTATCAAGACCATTAGGTTTGATAATGGCTCTAAGTTTGATTTTGCTGCCCTATATAACAGTCATGGTATTGAACATCAAAGAAGTTGTGTGGAGACTCCACAACAGAATTCTGTTGTGGAAAGGAAACATCAAGATATTCTAAATAAGACTCGTAGCCTAATTTTTCAATCCAACATTCCCAAAGCCTATTGGTCATATGTTGTTTCCTATACTGTTTACTTAATTAATAGACTACCCTCTGTTGTTCTCAAAGATAAAACACCTTATGATTTACTTCATAATGCCCCTCCTACATATTTGAATTTAAAAACCTTTGGTTGTCTCTGTGTTTGCTTCTACTTTAGAAAATAATAGGAATGAATTTTATGCTAAGGCCAAGAAAGGTGTTTTTCTAAGATATAAAAATGGTGTGAAGGGATATATTGTGATTTTCAATCCAACATTCCCAAAGCCTATTGGTCATATGTTGTTTCCTATACTGTTTACTTAATTAATAGACTACCCTCTGTTGTTCTCAAAGATAAAACACCTTATGATTTACTTCATAATGCCCCTCCTACATATTTGAATTTAAAAACCTTTGGTTGTCTCTGTGTTTGCTTCTACTTTAGAAAATAATAGGAATGAATTTTATGCTAAGGCCAAGAAAGGTGTTTTTCTAAGATATAAAAATGGTGTGAAGGGATATATTGTGTTGGATGTAAATACTAGAGAACTTTTCATAAGAAGAAATGTCATTTTCTATGAAGATATTTTTCCTTACAAGGATTTGAACGACAAACATGACGCCTCTCTCTCCTAGATAGGAGAGTGAAGAATGCTCAACTAATGACTTTCTGAGTGAGCACACCAATACTGGAACACAGAATCAAGTTCCCACTGATTGTAGCAATACCACTGGTCAGACAAAGATCCCTGGACATGCTGAACATGAAGAAGAGTTTAATGATAGAGACAATGTTCTCACTTCCCAGGATAATAGAAGACCCACAAGAACAAGAAGAATCCTTGAATATTTGAAAGACTATGTACACCTAGTTAATTCTTCCTTTAACAACTTAAGGGAGAAAAACAAATTAAAAACTACTTATCCTATTTCTAAGGTTCTATCATACGCATCTCTGTCTGAAAAACACTTAAGGTACACATTGGTTATATCTGGTGACTTTGAACCACGAACATATGTTGAAGCCAAGACCAATCCTGACTGGATAAATGCAATGGAGAGGGAAATCAAAGCTTTACAAGAGAACAACACATGGTACCTGACACAATTACCTCCTAGAATTACCCCCATCGACTATAAATGGGTGTACAAAATCAAACATAAGGCAGATGGGACCGTGGAAAGATACAAAGTCCGCCTAGTGGCTAAGGATTACACACAACAAGAAGGGATTGATTTTCTGGACACTTTCTTCCTAGTGGCAAAAGTAACCACTGTTAAACTCTTTCTTGCACTAGCTACCTCACAGAATTGGTTCCTACATCAACTAGACGTGGATAATGCTTTCCTACATGGGGACTTAGATGAATAAGTCTACATGGAACTGTCACTAGGACTGAATACTGACAATGACAAAACAAGGCAGGTCTCTAAATCATTATATGGCCTGAAACAGGCCAGCAGACAATGGTTTGAGAAACTCTCAACCTTTCTTATTTTTGTCAATTATACTCAATTTGTGTCTGACCACTCTCTGTTTATTAAGAAAACACCCACTAGTTTCACAACTCTTCTTGTGTATGTAGATGATATTCTATTGGCTGGGAATTCAATGACTAAGATAGAGCACATCAAGAGTCTTCTATATAACAACTTTAGTATCAAAAACCTTGGGGAGCTGAAATACTTTTTAGGACTTGAGGTGGCTTGGTCAAAGAAGGGGATCAACTTATGCCAAAGAAAATATGTCCTGGATATCCTAGAAGAAACAGGAATGATGGGGAGCAAACTTTCTTCCACTCCCTTTTTAAGTGACACAAAGTCCCTGTACAAGACAAAGAGACTTTTGTCTAATCTCACCAGCTCCTACCGCAGATTGATAGGGAAGCTTCTTTACCTAACCAACACAAGACCTGACTTGTGCTTCTCTATTAATTTTTTAAGTCAATTCCTAAAGAATCCCACTGATTATCATTTTTGTGCTTTACAGCATATCCTAAGGTACATAAATTCAGCCCTGCCCAAGGACTCTTCTTTGTCGCAGATTCTGAAGCCCAAATAAAAGCATTCAATGATTCAGACTGGGTTACTTGTCCCAATACTAGAAGATCCACCACTGGTTTTTGTGTTTTCCTTGGATCTTCCCTAATCTCTTGGAAATCAAAGAAACAACATATTGTTTCTCGATCGTCTACTAAAGTTGAGTTCCGTGCTTTGACCACAACTGTTTGTGAGATACAATGGATCAAGTATCTCTTACAAGACTTCACCATTCAAATCCTCAACATAACTACCCTCTACTATAACAATAAGTCTGCTAAACACATCGCCCATAACTCAAGCTTCCATGATAGGACGAAACACATCGACCTCAATTGTCACATTGTTCGTGAGAATATTAAAGCTCATCTTCTTCATCTCCTTCCCATTCACTCTGAAGAACAGCTCGCAAACATCTTTACAAAATTCCCTCATCGTGTGCAGTTCAAATCTATCATCTCTAAGCTTGGGTTGGTGAATATACATCATCCAACTTACGGGGAGGATGTTAAAGTCAGTTAATTTATTAATAGTTTGTTAGGATTACTACCTAGAGTAGTAATAGTTCATTTTCTCCTTATTTTCTGTTTTTCCTTTCGATTAGGATTCTCGTTGACTCTATATAAGGGGTTTTCTTTTCTTCTTGTTGTAATAGTTAACACATAATAAATAATACAAAAATTGTTCAGGATTACCTGGTTAATCATGTCCCTGGAGCGCTGTGTCGCTTGCATTTTCAGCACACGTGGAACCTTTTGTTTCTTTCTTCATTTTACATATAAAGTTGTAGGTCCCTCATTAATAGATTAAAGAACTTGAACTTGAATTTGGTTACTAGAACTTTTTTGCATGATTGGATGAAATTTGAGAAAAGTTGTGAAATGTGTTTGAATTTTTTGGAAGTCATGTTACATTTATTTATTTTGAGTATGTGTTTGGTGAATTATGCGAGTGAGTGAATGAATAGATATAGAATATAATTACGTTAGCATAATACATATTGTTTTCAGGGAAGATCATGGTAGGAATGTTTTGAAATGAGTTGTATGTGTAGGTAAAAGTTTCAATTTTTTACATAGTCTGTCATTGCATAATTTTCACCAAAATAAGAGGTGTTTGATGACACTTCCAAATTTAGAAAGATGATTTGAGGCTCATTCTTGTTCAAACCAAAAATTATTCACTCAATCGAAACTTTGGTCACAAATTCCTAATAATTTTTTAATTTGCGTAAATGTTTAAGAAACGTATGTTGAGAATGTGTAGATAATATGTTGTAGTACAATGAATATTAGGAAGATTTTCTTATATAAACATGGTGTGATTTGTGTGAGAATTGAATTAGAGATTTAATTTTATTTATCATTTATCATTGTAATCTTATAAATGAATATATCATATGGTAAAAATTGACCAAGTTTTGAGTTAGTTTGTTATCTGAAAAAGAATTGTATTTGGTATAAAAAATTATTTTGTCACACAATAGAATTTTATCATTTTAAGTATTTGGGAAAGTTGTAATGAGACCTTATATATTTTTTAGTTTGAATTTAATGTCTAATTGCTAAGAACGTTAAATATTTGAATTGGGTTTGTATGAATGTGCTATGTGTATAAATTTAATTTGATGACGTGAATATATGATAAATAAATTATGCATATGAAATGTTGTTTTTATGAGAATTTCATTTGTTATAATTTAAATAAAATTATTAATTTACCCTATTTTATATTGGTGTATTTTTACAATTTTGATAATCATATTTTTACACAAGAGTAGCTCCCAATGAAATCCTCTAACAAAATATAACTTTTTATTTTAGAGTTGACATATATATATGATTTCCTTTCTAGAAAGAATTTTATTTTAAAAGAATATATATATATATATATATATATATATATATATATATATATATTATTGTTGCTTAAGATTTTAACTTTTAATTATAATCATATTTATTTATAATTATGAAATTATATATTAATAATATATATAATTATTTTAATTTTATGCAGTATAACCTATATAATTTAAATAAAGTAATTATATATTATATGAATCTGTATAATTAAAATAAAATATTAATATTTAGATTATTTTCTCTATTTTTACTATTGAAAAATTAAAGTTATGTAATTTACATAAATTTATTTTAATATGTAAGTTACTTTTATTCTAATAATACTAATTAAGAATGCTTTCATATGTATTTTTATATATGTTATATAACAAATTTAAAAACAATATACATATACTAATCAAGTTATGTAATTTATAAATAAGTACATTGATAATTAGAATTTTATTAACTTGTGCAATAATAATACATACCATATATATCTTGACAAATATTAAATAATAGCTATTGATTTGTTGAGTAGTCTATTATTATAAATGTTTGTTGGTTCAAGTTCTAACAAAAATTGTTTTATTTTGACTCGCCATTTATTTCATTAACCACTTCATATTAGAGAGAGAATTTTAGAATTACTAAGACAAATATTGGGTAAGCAAGGGATTAGTGATTTTTTTTTTTTCGCAAATATACGAACAAAATTCTTTTGGTGAGAACATATCTTTATATTTTTCTTCATGTACCAAATATTCTTCCTAACAAAATGAAAACCAATTGTTCATCTAAGATCAGACATGAACCCTTTGAAGGACGTTGCTTTGAGTTTCTTCTAAATATTTTTTGGATCCATAAGGTCTTATAATTGGGTCAGGACATTTTATGCCACACTTTAACAAATCAGATTTGTGACTTGCGAAGCTGAGGAAGACACGATGATGGTGGTGAAGGTTTCGTTTTGGTCCTCACAATGTGAGCAAGTGCAGAAAATCAGGGTGACCTATCAAATCAGTCTACCCTATATTTAACCTCAATAAAAATTCAAGGTCTTTTCAGGGTGCTGGATATCATGCATATTCACTTTGCAATGTTTCCATCCACCTAACTAAAGATCATAATTAAACATTAGGACCGATTCTATATTTATATTATTATAAGTATTCTATATTTATATAAAAAAAATGATTAAATATTTTTTTACTTATATATTTTAATATAAATATAAATAATTAAAAAATATATTTTATTAATAATAATTATAAATTATAAAATTATAAATATTTATTTATATATAAAATATACATTAAAAATGGTAAAATTACTTTATTATAAATATAATTATTTTTTAAAATAATGTAGATTAAGATAGAAACAAAAAGATCCGAAATTCAAAAAAATGAAAATAAAATTTTAAATTCAGTAGAGATGGAAGATGGAAATAATTAAATAAGTCGAGATGGAAGTGCAGAAGAAAAACTCATCTAATTAAATATAAAATATAATAGTAAATAGAAAGTCAACATTATATTGAAAATAAAAAAATAAAAAAATAAATAATGGTAGTGCTGCACCAAACTATAATTTGGCGTATTTGAAAATAGTGACTTATTTCGTTATACCCCACGTATACAATATATTTTGATCCCACACCACACACGTGTAATTCTGTTCCTGACCACATGTATAATTGAAAAGCTAAAGTATTTTTTTTTAAGAAGAAACCTATGTAAGGTAGGACCAAAAGAACAAATTAATAATACGAAACAGTTCAATTTCTTAAATCAAGGATTAAATTAAATAGTAAATAATTAAAATATACAATTAATTACGTAATTAATATGTTTTGATAGTTAGAACTCCCTCAGTTTGTTTTTAAGAGTTTTTTTTTTAACAATGTATTCCTGTTTATTTGTCATTTTTAAAATTCAAATTACACTTTCTCATATTATTTACTTGTTTTTTTTTTAATAATAAACTTCAATTAAGTCTGACAATTTTAAAAAAATGCGACAATGTAACCCTTTAAAGGTTTAATTATGTGAAAGATCTTTAATCATATATAAAGAAAGAATAAGGATAATTTTTGAAAAATTTTACTGAACAGTTATGAAAAATAGAAAATAAAAATTAAAAATCATTCATAAAAACATATGAAGAGTTTATCTCATAAAACATAAAGTTTTATTTCAAAATGAATATGAACTTTTTTTCAGAAGTAAACAAAAGTCTATTTGTGCTTGTACCATGTTATTAAAATCAGCCTGAATTGACTGGTTCAATCGGTTTAAACAAAAATTGCTGCGAAACTTTCATATAATTGGTACAACATTGAACCGGACAAAACCGAATAAAAAACCGGAAATTCGGACTGGTTAACGGAGGCTATGGCTTCTCTTTTGTCTCTGAAAAGTTAGGCAAGATGAATGCCAACTCGCACACCACGACCAGACGCCATACCTGTCGCTGTTGCATTCGTTTCCCTCGTGCCGCCGTCGCCATTGTGACTTAAAATCACGTGTTGCCACCTCTTCAGGAAGGTGTGGGTTATAATAAGTTATAACTTAATGTGAGATAAGTGTGGATTCCCTTGATTTGTTGGTTTGTTTTGCATCTAAGTTGCACAAAACTGGTTCTGCTTATAAGTCTGCACCATATTTGTTCTGTTTTCAACTGTGTAGGATGTGGGTTTATCTCTTACCATTTACAATTTTAAATTTGTAATAGTGACTATTTTTCATTTATTGTATTTTTGTTGTTTTCTCAATCTTTCTTTTTAAATGTTATTATTAATATTTATATATTTTTCTTTCTTTTTATTGATTGTCTCTTTGCTTTCGTAGCTTTTTGGTGTGTATTATATAAAATTGAAACTAAATATTCCTACTCAAAATAAATTATTATATTAATAAAATATATAATTTTATTCAACTTTTATAAATTTGGCTCAACCTTGAATCCTTGTCTTTATCTATTCAATAATCCATCCGCTTTTAAAAATTATAATTTGAACTTTTTAGGCTCATTCATTAATTAGGTACATTCGATAAGCTTCTAATTAACCTAATAACAAACTAATGTCTAAAATGTATTTCTAATTACAAAAATATAAAAATAAAAAATAAAAGGTCCAATATAAGAATACACAAATCATATTTTGAGTTTCTTTCTTAGTCATTTATGATAAAAAAATCATCCTCATTTTATATATATATATAATTCTCAATTTTATAAGAATGAATAGGATATCTTATCCTTTCTAATATAGTATCATAGTCAACTTTAACATGTTGAGACATGAAAATCCTTCTCTACAATGAAAAAAAATCTCTTCATTTATTAAAAACATTTGAATATCAAATAATTAGAATTAATCACAATTAATTCATAGAGATTACATCATAATCTCATAGTCACAATTTTGTCCAAAATATCTGTAATATGAAATTAATTACAATTAATTCATATAAATCACATTTACCCAATTTGGTCACAATTTAAATTTTATCTACAGTATTCACAATACACTCTCTCAAGTTGGTGTATAAAGATTTTGAATATCCAACTTGTCAAATTATACATGTCGAGAAGATTTGTCGAATATGTCTACAAGTTGTGCATGAATGAGAAATGATTGTAATTGTTCATAAAATATCTCATTACAAATAAAATGACAACTTACTATAATATGTTTGATATTTTCGTGAAATATGATATTCTTAACTATGTGCAAAGAGCTTGATTATCACAATAAAGACACATGGATGTGGAATGAGAAATCCCAAAGTTGGAGAGAATGTTTTTCACCCACTTTAGTTTACATGTGGTAATAGCCATTGAACTATCTGTTTCAGTCAAGGTGATTATGAACCACATTTACAATATGTTTGGTATTTTCATGAAATATGATATTCTTAACTATGTGCGCTTGATTATCACAATAAAGACGCATGGATGTGGAATGAGAAATCCCAAAGTATGAGAGAATGCTTTTCACCCACTTTAGTTTACATGTAGTAATAGTCATTGAATAATAGTCTGCTTCGGTCAAGGTGATTATGAACCACATTTATAATATGTTTGGTATTTTCATGAAATATGATATTTTTAACTATGTGCAAAGAGCTTGATTATCACAATAAAGATGCCTAGATGTGGAATGAGAAATCCCAAAGTAGGAGAGAATGTTTTTCACCCACTTTAGTTTACATGGTAATAGTCATTGAACGATATTCTGCTTCGATAAAGGTGATTATGAACCACATTTGTAGAAGGATTGACTTACGATCTTCACTACAAGAAATACTGGAAATACCGACGGTCAAAATTCGTCAGTAAACAAATATTACCGACAAACATAAATTCGTTAGAAATATTTTTATTATTTATTGATTTTTACTTATTTATAGCCTATTTTTTTAGAGATCTCCTCCCCTTTATATTTTTATTATTTATTTCTACCCATTATATTTTTATAGCTTTGAATTATTATTAGATTAAGAGAATTGTCATTGGCGGGATTCGAACCCAATACCTTAGAGTTGGAGGTTGATACTCCAACCTCTAAGCTACTAGAATTTTACCTTAGAGTTGGAGGTTGATACTCCAACCCAGTACCTTAGAATTCTTATCAAATTAAGTAATTATTATATAATTTTACCGACGGATATATCCGTCGGTAACTAATTGTTAATTTACCGATGAATTTATCAACGGATATATCCGTCGATAATTAATTGTTAATTTATCAATGAATATATTCGTCGGTAACTAATTATTAATTTACCGACGGATATATCCGTCGGTAAGACCAAATTCCACAAATGTTTTATATCCGTCGGTAATGACTCATTTTTCGACGACTACAAATCCATCGATAAAAATCCATCGAAAATATGCAATTTTCTTGTAGTGCTTTAGGGTTAAAACCTTGTAGGAAATTAGTGAGAAAGTAGATTAAAAAGCGATGAAAGTTTTAGGGTTGGGCAGAATTTTTGAAACATTGATATCTCAAGCTATAAAACTTCGATTGAGGTGATTTAAAAATGAGGTGAAAGTTCTCGTTCTGAATTTTAATTTAGGCTAAAAAAACACTCAATTTAGACGAGTTAAATGAAAGTTATGACCACGACATAAATCTGGACAAAATTGGGTTTTTTGGGTTTTGGTGAAGAAAGAACAAGAGGTGAATGTGAAAGGTCAAAGGAAAGAATCACTCTTGCTAAGGGAGGCAACTCAAAAAGGATGTGAAAAGTTATTTGATATAGCCAAAGGTTCTTGAATCACTCAAGAACTTAGGAGAATTACTCTCACTAAGATAAAAAAGCTAAACTTTAATATTTCTGAATAAAACTCAACTTGCATTTTTTATAAAAATGGTTCAGCTTATATAGAAGTTTTTGTCATCAGAGTTACAAAGATTCAATAAAGGAAAATAAATCTTAATAATGATCCATTAATCTAGGAATTGAAAACTACTTAATGGAGGCAAATAAATCCTAATAATGATCCATTAACCTAAGAATTGAAAACTACTTAATGTTGATTGTAATTGAAATTGTGGCAACTAAAAGTCAATCAGTTATGCATCATTTTGGTCTTCCAAATGCTGATTCCTAAGTTTCCAATTGGGCCCTTATTACAACTTGAAACAAAATCAAACTAAAGTTCATTAATTGATTAAGCAAAAACATAATTTGGTCAGCCAATTTTACAAAGGATTAAGTCATTATTTAAACAAATTTAAAAATTGAAACAAAGTGACGCATTAGTCTTCCTCCATTTGGGTCATGATGTAATTCACAACTTTGATCTTTTCTCCTTGAAATGTGGGCTTGTATTCAAATAATATGGACAACACTTGTTGAAAAACTTCATTTGTTTCCCTTGCTCTAGCCCTTGTCATAGGTCCTCCAAGTCCTTCAAGTGGATCATTGCCCTTGCTCATGGTCATGTCCCCATCACAAGGAATGAAATATTGTATGTTATTTCTTTACCTTCAAAGAAATAAGGGAATTCCAAAAGAAAATAACTCAACGAGTGAGAAGGCATGTCACCCAATCTGCATCACATTATCCATAAAGTTTCATATCGCTAAAACTATATGAGAGAATCAATTGTCCAGAATTTCGTTTCAGATACTAAACAACACTAAGAGCGATTTCCCAATGTTCCATGCATGGCTGCTACATAAATCGCAAAAGAATATGCACATAATATGCCAATTCGGGTCGAGTAAACACACAAATTAATCAACTGACAAACCAAATATCTATGATGATCAGAATTAGACATAAAATCACCTTTGGCAAGACCAAGATGATAATTTTTTTTCATTAATGTAGACATAGGCTTTGGTCCAAGTAGTCAAATTTCACTAATTATGTCTAAAACATACTTTCTTTGACATATGAAAATGCTAATAGCTGATGTAGCAACTTCTACCCTTAAAAAATATTTTAACTTTACCAAATCTTTCATTTGAAAATATTTGCTCAAGTAATCTTTGAACCATTTCATAACTTCATGATTGTCTCCACATATGATTAAATCATCAATATAAACTGACATTCAATTATATTGAACTATTTTGTAAAGTAGATAAGAAATAATCATAAAGAGATTATTTAAATCCATATTGTTTTATGGCACCAATTAATTTGGTAAACCAACATCTAGGGCTTGTTTCAAATTATATAGGGACTTTTGAAAATGACACACTTGATTTGAAGTATGAGAGCAAAAGCTTGAGGGCAACTTCATGTACATTTCTTCTTGAAGATTACCATGTAAGAAAGCATTGTAAACATCCATCTGATGAAGTTCCTAATTTGTGGTTGCACTCTCTAAGGCACATTACACTCCTTGATTTTCAACACAAAAAATATTTCCTTCGTAGAAAACACATACATAATAATTAACTCTAACTAACAAAAAGCACCTAGAGTTAACCATGTTTTGATTGGATGGAACATTATAGCACTGGACTAGTGTATCAAACATAACATCACAAGCTTGTGTTGACGAAGTTAATATGAACAAATCTCCATCTTTGTTATGAAACAAGCATATACATTAAAATACTACCTACAAGCCCATTACAAACTTAATTGGGTCCATTTCAAATAGTGAAGAAAGTTATTACATGGAAAAACTTGTGTGATCACATCACATGAATTTTAATATGTAAAATTGTATATTCTTAATTCTTTGTCATACAAAATAAGAATTACATGTAGGTATTCAAAGGCTCAAACTTTAAATTTCTAAAACCCTAACATTATCTCCCTATAATCATAATAATAATTATCTAGAATCGTAATATAAACGGTCCAAGATATCTGCAAATGAAATACATTTCAATTAACATTTAAACTTATTATTTTTCATTTAATTTTATCCAAAAAGACTCTCCCGTAAAAAAAATGCTCTTCTTCAATTGACAGAGATTGGTCCTAGACCGACCTGCTCCTTCTGACTAAGAGTTTCTTTCATCCTTCATC